GGACAAGGACAGAGGAATCAGATCGAGTTATGGTTATTGTGTGAGGATGGTGGGGTGGCGATCACTACTTTTTTGCTCCCGATCCCTAACCTTCAGAAATGCTCTTTAAATTTTATTATATTTGGAGATAGGGTCTCACTTTGTCACCCAGACTGGAGTGCCTAGCGCGCCCACCCGCAGCCACCTGGCGGTGGGGGAGACTTGGCCTTGGGAGAGTGAGAATGCAGAAGTTTCATGTGCAAGGGGCTGTGCTCTTTTTGCTCGGAGGGTGCCCTCCATTTTCTCTGGAACACTATTAATTGATTTGGGATTTATTCCATCAACATTTCAAAAAAAATGCCTGCAGAGATGATTTAAGACGTAGCAACTTTGTTACAGAAGCTCCCTGGCTAATGAGGGTAGATTCATTTCTCTGTGCCCAAAGAATAAAGGAATAAATCATTAAAAATTCAGTTATTTGTAAGTAATTTCTGGAAGAATCAATGCCTGCATAGATGTGGATGCTATGGAGTACTAGAATTAATGTTTATTTATCTACGAAATGCTCCCTAAATGAGTCTTTGAAAATGGCCACAGAGGTTTTAGGGAGACTCCAAAAGGCTATTGAACTTGAGAAGGCAGCCTATAATAAAGAGTACTGGTAAAGGTGGAGTAAGTTTTGTGGCTGAAGCCAGAATTCTTGAGGATGGTGGTTGGAGGCTGTGGTGGGATTCAATGACTACTTTGCTTCAGTTCTGAATCTACATAGACCCTAACTGGACCTGTAAATATCATACAGTTTGTCAGAACCCCATTTGACTTAGCTTGGCGTAGTGATGAGAATGTATTTTGCGTTGTGAAGACATGCTTTTATTTGGTTGTTGGACCAAAAAAGTAATCTTTTCTAATGCAAAGGAATACATTTTGGGAAATCCACATTTCTACTTGGACTCTGACATTACTTTAGTTGGTTATTTTTAACAAGTAATTTCTCTTTGGAATTCAGGTTCTGTTTCTTAAGGAATGGATTGGACTAATTACTTCATTTAATAGGTATTTTCTAAATGCTTAGTATGTGTCAGACACCGTCTTTAATCCTTGGAAAACAAAGGTAAGCCTAAAAATCTGCCCTCTTGTCTTAGCCCATTTGTGGTGTCAGTGTCTGTTTCTGGTGAGGGCTTAAGGAATCTTCTGCTCATCTTGTAAGGGGCAGGGGAACAGACATTATATGGCAAGAGAGGAGGGTGGTACCAGACTCTCATGTCTTTTGCAGCAACATGGATGGAACTGGAAGCCATTAACCTCAGAGAAATAACTCAGAAACAGAAAGTCAAATACCACATGTTCTCATAAGTGAGAGCTAAGCAATGAATACACAAGACTGGAATTTTAGACATTAGACATTTAGACATATTCCATTAAAATGGAATATTAGACATAGGACACTATAAAAGGTGGGAAACTGGAAGAGGGTGAGAGTTGAAAAAACACCTATTGGATATAATGTTCACTATATAGGTGATGGTTAAACTAAAAGCCCAGCCTTCATCACTACATATTATATGTATGTAAGAAACCCAAATGTGTGCCTCCAACTATATACAAATTAAAAATAAAACAAACCAAACCCCAATTAGTCCTCACGACTAGTAAAGCAAGATACCACTAGGAAGGCACCAAGTCATTCATGAGGAATATTCCTCATGATCCAAACACCTCCCACTAGGCCATACCTCCAACATTGGGGATCAAATTTCAACCTGAGGTTTGGAGGGGAACAAATATTCAAACTGTATCACTTTCTAAAGCTTGCAGTCTGAGAGAGACAGGCTTTCTATACATATAAATTCAATATAAATGTCACTTCAGTAGTCACCTTCAGTTGATATATCATGAGTCTATATATCCTGCTTCCTTTTCTTTCTTTTTTTCCTCTGTCATCAATATAGTTGGAGTAGAGCAGGAGGGAATTAAGGAAACTAACACATTGTAAGCAAATAACAACTATATGCAGATCAAAGAAATGAATATTTGCAAAGCTCTATTTTTTGTAGCTCTCTTTATATATTTGTATTAATTTACCTCAAAAATCTTATCCAACCCAACATATTTCCACCTTGATATTCCCTTAGACATGGCTTATCTAGGAGCTATATCTTCAGATTTTACTGTAAACCACTACATATACAGTAAGTCCTCTATAAGCGAACTTTCAAGTTGCAAATTTTCAAAGATGCTAACATACATTTGCATGTTCAGTCATGTAAGTTAGTTCTCATGTCTGGTGTACATTGTCACATGTGTGCGTTCTCTACAAGTGATTGTGCTTTTGTGGGTTTTACTGTATAGTGCTGTAAAATTTAAAAATTTTTCTTTATTTTTTATGTTTTTTTTCCACGTATGATTTGTGTGAAAAGTATTGTCAACCTATTACTATACAGTACTCTATAGCCGATTGTGTTGGTTGGATACCTACACTAACTTTGTTGAACTTGGGAAAAAATTGAACATTCAGAGTGGAACTCATTTGTATATAGGGGACTTGTATGTGACTGTGCATGCTATAAATCTTTTATTATACTTTTACATAAGTAATGATACTACTGAATTGTTCGACTGAAATTTGCATCATTCATTGTCTATACATGTGCATGATTTTGGTGTTCTTATCACATCTTTTTATCTTATGGCTATACATAAGTTTATGATGCTTATAATTCTAGAGAACTTATGTTATAAGCTCTAAAAGCTCATAAAGTTAGCTATTTGTTCAGAATTTGATCTTACATGTCATTTTCTAATGTAAGCATATTGTATTTTCTGATTCATATTGAATGCATGCATGTAGGTAAAAAATAATTCATTTTACTTTCAGCATTTATTGGAGTATTAGTTACATAACAGATCTTAATGAGTTAAACACATGGAATGCTCTATAAAGATTTAGCCTTTCTTCATTTATATTGGGATGTCTTCTATTCCTAACTGTATGAACACATCAAAAATAAAAATGTGTATGTATATATGTATATCTATATACTTGTGTATGTGTATGGAGATATATAACTAGAGCACCTTTATTTTCTTTTCATCACCTGACTCTTACTCTATTTTGTTACTCAGCTGAGGCACTATATCCTACAATGTTTTGCTAAATTCTGTGCTTCAGATTAGCTGGCCACTTCACCTGTGTGGTTTCACAGTTCACTAGGTATATGAGAGGAGACACCCCCAAAACCAGAATTTATTTATTAAAACTTGTGTATTTATTCTTACATGTTTAAATTTCGGTCACCTTCAAAATACTATTCATTTGATGCAATACACTGGACTCGATTTTGATGCCTTTTTGTGCATCTGCTGTTTTTTGTTTCACCTCTTCCACATCAGCAAAACGCTTCCCTTTGAGGGCTTTTTTCATCCAAGGAAACAAAAAAAAAATTCCCTCGGTACAAGATCAGGTGAATAAGGAGGGCGGGGAATGGGGTCAAAAACTGCAAACACTCAGCATGCTATAAACAGGCAGGCTCGTGAATCACCAATCATGAAATAGGCAAGCATGTTGAAAGAATCCTCCCCCCAAATTCACTGAAGTCAAATGCAGCCTCTCATAACAACACTAGTTGGTACACTGATGCTGATGGGTTTCTAGAACATTCGCTTAGTGGAGGAAGCCTGCATTACAAGGGGCCTGCCCGTCAAAAGATAATTCCAGTTTTTTTGTGTCCTACCTCATATATGTCTTTTCAGGCCATTGTCACTGTGAACCACTGTAGAGTAAATGTATTTTAGTACGTAAGACAATCCTTGATGCATTGGCAGATATATTATAAGTAGTTGTTAAAATAATAAAGTTTGGACTGTTGCCTTACTAGACTCTGGTGTGGCCATGTGGTTTTTGAGCTATGATTGTCGCTATGCTTCCTGGCTTTGGCCCCCTTCCCTGACTTGGAATCTGGAATCTCCTCTGTCTCTCTCTCTCTCTCTCTCTCTCTCTCTCTCTCTCTCTCTCTCTCTCTCTCATGTACTTTTTAAATAAACTATATTTTCTAATCTAAAAAATAATAATAAAATTTGAAAAAATGAACATGTCTACTTTGTATCCTCAACATAATTCTATTTCTGGAAATCAGGAGGTGCTTAATAAATATTGCATAAATGAATAAACAGCTGAATGAATGAATGAATGGAGAAACTTGGCAAATTACTGTTAAGGGTCTCTTGTGGATGCTTTTCTTTAATTGTCTTCACTTATGTCTTTACTTTTTTTTAACCCTCATTTTGTCTTTATCCAGATTTTTTTCTACCATATTTCCCCCAAGTAAATATAGCTTCTTAATGTATAGATGTTTATTGTAAGAAAATATTTTTAAAATTTAAGGAAATAAGAAAGTAAAAATTACCCATAAATCTATGATGCAGAGATACCTATTTTGCAGAAAAATCATCCAGACTTTGAACTATATGTGTATACATATAAAATATTTTAGGAAAATGAACCATACTATATAATACTGCTTACTAGCTTGGGCTTTTCTCCCTAAAACTGCAATAGACCGATTTTCTACACCAGTAAATATTGATATGTCTGCATCATTAATTTTAATCCACAGTATGTCCATAGTTATATTAATCCTCTATTGTTAGACATCTGTTGGCTATTTTTACAGAAGCGCTGAGATGATTATTCTTGCTCAAATATCTTTGTGCATATGGGGTCATTAGTCACATATAAGGACCTCGGATGTGTAGGAAAGCACCTTGGATATTTCTGTAGGAAAGTAATTGATTTGTTATATAAAAGTATCTTGGACATTTTATTACTGAATCAAAGGGTGAGATGATTAGCTATTTTTGACACATTGCTAAATTAAATAAAAAGCTGTGACAAAACAAATTGTAATAAGCATTGATTCCTCATCTCAGTAAACTAAACTCA